TGCAAATTTAACCCAACTATAAATGATTTATGAACTATTCATTTACTAAAAACGATTAATTATGTTATAACAGTATAGTCATTATATTGATTAATTATACAGTAATTTTAATAATTTTTTTATTAAAAAGATCATCCTAAAATTAAATTAAAAATAAGTATATTATCGTCACAATATTAACCTGATTTTTGAAGTAGAATTCGAACCAAACATTAATAATGATTATTTTTTGTCAAAACATTTTCTTAACATTCAACAAATTCATTGCGATATTTAATTATATTAGATCGATTTTCAAATTACATTGATGAATAATCATATATTTTATTTAAATTTTTACATTCAATGAGGAAAAAGTTTTTTTTTTAAATTTATACTTCTTTGTCATGAAAAACAATACAATTTTACTAGTTCAATTTTTCAAAATTTTTAATATTTTTCATTACCATCAAATAGTAAGGTTACATGCACCGAAAAAGAAGCATATAGTGTAGAAACTTTAGGGAGTAGACGCCTTAATTTGTAATTTCAAATTTATCACACATTAGGATTATTAATTTTATATCTTAAAACTTCTCCTATAGTTCATATTAGACATTTATATTTAAGGTGCGAAGTAACCATTTTTTACGATATATTAATATTTATTTATATTTGAATGCATGTCTACTCTTTTTTCTAGTGCAGTTTAAATTTATATAAAAAAATTTAAAAACATTATTGTCCCTGTACAATGAAATTTTAATAAATAAATTTTGAAATTGAGTTTTTTTTTCGAGGGCTCTTTTATTTGATTATTATTTCTAAAATTTATTATTAACTGTTATAAAAGCAGAACAATAATTAAAATTATTGCTTATACTGCCTAAATAATGTACCAAACTAATTATAAAGTAGGTAATTATTATGAAAAATGTTTAAAAAGAATGTTTAGTTCTATATTAAAATTCTAAATGGACATATAAATAGATGTGTAATTATAGTGCTATTATAATAGCATTTATGTAATAAGATTAGGTGTACGGTTAATAATTCATCCATGTCAATAATTACATCAAAAAATTATTACATATTCTTTGTTAATACTATCATTCAAGATTGATAATATATACTTGCAAATATTTTTTGTGATTTCAAGCGTACCTCACTATAACATTTGTAGTATAAAAATCTCTTTAACATAATTTTATTTAAATTTCTTCGCAAAATGTTTTATGCTATTTGGGTACGACAAAAGTAAATAAATAATCTATTAAAATTTAATGTATCATTATCGATATTTATTTGGAAAATTTAGGTAAAAAAACTTGTGCAAGAATATTACCACTTTTTAGCATTCCATGTATGTTTGAAGGGAACGTTTGTTGGTTAGTCACAATGGACTGAATAACCTTGTGTTTACCCTCAAATCGAGTACTAAAAAAAAAAAAAAATATACGTTGTTTTGTTTTTCAAATATTGTAAAATTAGTTCCGATACAATTATTTTTTTTGTTTTTTTATTTTAGCTTGATAATATGTCATTATGGTAAATGCTATATCATTTGTATTGTTGCATCATTTATTAAATAACGCAGCTGTCTTATCGATTATCAAAAATATACAAATGTCTTGTTATCAATTTGCGCCTATATAGTGAAGAAATTTATACTGCTAGGTTTAAAGCTAAACTATTACATATAATACTACAGTAAAATTATATTCTATTGGTAATGTATAAAATATACAAATGAGAAACTAAATATAAAAAGACATATATAATTATAATATTGTCATGTTGCAAAAAGTTTCATTGTCCTTATATTTTTTTAATATACTGTTTTATTAGTTTTCAAATAGTGTTATAGTCGTCTTAATAGTCAATACATCTATAAAAATTGCATGCGAGATTCAAGGTCATGACACATAAAGGTGCTGCTGGGTTATTGCAAAACTTTTTTTTTGTATTAACACTACCGAAAAACTTTGCGATATTGACTTGACATATTTTTGAATATGCTGAATAACTGTTGGACACTTCAACTATTTTATTATTTGCCTTTTCGCAACTTGAAAAGTTTGCCCGTAGGAGTTTTAATCGGCAAAATCGCAGTCTGCGGTTCTTGTCTACGGTAGTAATAAATAATGGCTTATAGAAATAATTTATTTCTCAATTTATAAATAAATGCTTTATTTTAACACAGTAATCGCATTAAGGCCTGCTGAAATATCTCTAAAATGACATTAGCTTTTTGGTCAACTAATAAAATTATGTTGTAACTTCGTGGGATTAACCTAAAATTATTTTTCATTCATTTCTTAAAATAATTTAAGCGATGAAAAGTAGATTCTTGATTCTCATCGCAGTAGAAATTTGACACGGTAAACATTTGTTTTTTTTAAGTTAAATTTTATTTATTATTAATCGCATTATAAACAAGTTGTTGATTCTAAGTGATATTTTTCCGTTTGACTTCTGTACTTTTAAACTAAATACTTAATTTTATTATATTTCTTTTAATTGTTAAAATATTTATAATATGGATATTATAACAGATTTCTTTTCATGTTATTTACTTGCATTGAATTTTTGAATAAATATTAATACTGTTAATGACACTTGTTATTCCTAACATAAATTGGCTTCAGTAAAAACATTTTAATGACAATTATGTTTGACGTAAATTCCTATTATACAATATTAAATAATATTTAATGTCGACCAATATCCGATTTTAAAAGTAGTTACACGAACTTTTTCAAGAAAACTGGTCCAAAATCTCATGTACGTTTTTAATTATTATTTCGTTTTTCAAGTTTCACGTGCTATATTTTTAAATAAATGTTGAGAAATCTTGATGAAAATTATATTATTGAGTGCAATTGCTATCTAAATGTTGATCGGTAAACTCTACGTGTATTTGTCAACTGCGCTATTGTTTCGTGACCTTCTTTGCAAACTTTATCTGATTAAGCGGTATTTGTGTACTGTTTACGAATGACCTCAGTAACTCAATATTTTCTAATAAAAACTAATGACCTATGATCATAGCTTTTTTAAAATCCAGCACAAAATTTTCAGTGAATGAATGTTATGTATTTATTAATAGACTTAAATCTTTTTTCTAATATTAGTTATATACTGTTAGCACATACTTGTTTTAGTATTTCAATGTGTTTAATTATATTTATATTTTACTTTAAAGTTAATTAACTTTTGAACAGTGTTTGTATAATATAAGGAACAATCATTAATGTAAATTTCATTCAAGTTTGAACTCTATTAAATTTTTATGGTAATTTATAGATTACTTTGAAATTTGTGGAGGTATATTAAGCTAATAAAATGACATCACTGTTAAATCTGGCAATTTTATAGTACTTCTTATTTAACGCAAAGTTATTAAATATTAATAATTTAAGACAAAATAAAATTGAACTTTATATAGCGAAAAACAAATGAATTTGGAAATATTTGGACTTACCAAAATATATTTGATTTGCGAATAATGTTTTTATATTATGACTCATGCGTTATATAACTTTTAAGAAATGCATTATAATATTAATCTACTAATTCAATATTGATTATTAAAAGCACTATTATAAATTTTACTACTTTACTTTTTAAATCTATTATAACCACTTTTGAAGTTTCAATAGATAAGAATACTTGAATATACGTATTGATATTATTTAAATAGATGGCTGTCCATTTAATGTGCTTTTTAAAACAAGAAAAACTACTATAAATAATGTCTGGTCTGTGTTCCATAACCAGTTTTTATATTAGTGTACTAGCAATTTGAAATTTTATTTGAAAAATACTGATTATGTAATATGTATATTAATGCTATTAATATTGTATGAATTATTAAAAATACAGATGATTACTTTATCGTTGACCATTAGATTTCTTCTTAAGTAATTATAATTTTCAGGATTTTTTTTCTTAATATAGAACTATTTATTTTTCAAAATATAAGCGGTTAAATAGTTTTTAAGTTCATACTTTAACCCTTATAAAAATACAAACTTTATTTTTATAAATAGCTTAATCAATTTTTATCAGGATAAATATTAAAAAATTATCAAACAAAAAATATAATTGGTCGATAATAACTTTTGACCAGTATTTTGATAGTTGAGAATATTTTTATGCTTTGGAGGGATGACAAACACAACAGATTGATGCGTTATGACAAAAATAACATAACCCGTACATCATCTTCAGTTTACTTTTAAAAATGGTTTTACATATGGATAAAAAAAAGTGGTGTCATTGGTTTGATCATTTTTTAAAATTTAATCTATTAAAATCTGTATGTTATGTTTCAAAAAGTAAGGTTAGTTTCCTTATATGGGATAAAGGTTAGATCTTAAAAATATTTCATCACATATAAGTTGAATAAATAACTAAATAAAACCAAAATTAATCTCAAAATTCTTATTATTTTGGGAAAAATTTAATGGTTAAATATAAATCAATCACTCTGTATAAAAATTGAATACTTCACGATTACATTATAGTTGAATGATAACATACACTATTTGTACATTATATCTGTAATTTTATTTAGAGCAAAAAAAATTTAGATTATAACGTACAAGTTAATTATATTATAAAAAAACTACATTAATGTAAAATTGAAAAATAGTTTTATATAATATTATTTTGTTTACACTTATAACTCCATGCTAAACTTAATCTTTCATAAAAATCTTATTTTTTAACCAAAAAGGGAATATACTTTTAAATTATTAAAAATTAACAAATTAATTTTTTTTTTTTTTTTGCATATAAAAATAACTACTTAAATTTTTTCATTATTATTACGGTTTTATTCATAATGATATCCAAAACTCTAAACAAAATAAATCCTGAAATTTGATAAGAATACACTTTGTGTTTTTTTTATCTCGTCACCAATTAGATCTTAGTTAGCTTACTCTTAATGTGGTACTACTTTTGTTGTTATTGTTTTTTTGTAAATTCGGTGATTTTTATTTTGGGTTTTATAGTGAAACGTCGAAAAAACAATGATACTAGTAAAACTGCAGTCTGACAACGACGACGAAAGTGGCTCTAAATACTTGACCGAATGGGCAGCCATTGAAATTCAAGGAGAACTCGAATCTCGGCACAATACACCTCTTGAGTGTCAATATGTCGGTGACCTGTTCGCCACTATTAAAGACAACGTGCCCATATTAATTATTGGCCATCACATCCTATACGGTAAAATGCAAACGTTTCCCAAGCCATTAGCTGTGATGAAAAAGAAAGAAATATCAGATGGTATAAATGGAAGAAATGAATACATAGTAGAGGCTGTGGTAACTAAAAAGTTGCTATTTAAAAATAGACCGAAGCCAATTATTGCAAATGTGAATAAGTCGTAAGTCGGAATACATTATTTGACCACAATGTTTTTGATCGTCTGCAAGGAGCTTAAAACCAATTCATATTTTTAATTAATGCATTATGAATTAATTTAAAGTTAACATAGACTTAAGTTTCAAAAACCTGATTATTACATAAGCATTTTTGTTTCATTTAAAGTGGTTTTTCACTTGTATTTGTACTTGTACATGTATTTTTACATACTTTATTTAGTGAAGTAAAAAATGTATACAAGTAATTTTACTCCTTAGATTGTTTCTGGATGCAACAAAACATACACACAAAGCGTTTATTAAGTGTTAGGCGCTACGATACGGCTAAATTATTTAATATATTATGTATTTCCGACACTAATATTTGTTTCTCTATTTAAATTATAAGTATTCGATCTTTATGCATTTGTATTTTATTTTATAATAATTAAAAGTGTTTAATATCATAAAAAAGAAAATCGATTTCATTACGCTATTATTTTAATAGTTATCATTCGTTGTAAAAAATTGAATTGTGGTAAAATAAATAATCTTTACCAGTCAAAATCGTAGTTTGTTATTTGTATGATATCAATGTCATACTATTATTTTAATTATTAATAAATGAAAAATTTTCATTGATACACTTAATTTGCATGTTATTGACTATTATGTGATGATTTGTAAATGATATTAACGATTGTTTGTTGAAATTCGCCGTCATTGCTGTAACCGACACCTAGCAATAAAATATGCCTGCCATAAATATTTTAAGACGACCACCAACCTTGTCTTTAACTCTTCGTACTGTAAATTCGTTAGGGAGTAACGATAAAATTACAATGGGAGACGTGGTCATAAAATATTTCTGTGTAAGTTGTATTTTATTACTCGACGACAAAAAGGAATAATGAAACCTTTCGCATTCTCATTACTCGTTTTCGTTGACGGACTTCACTACAGAATCCGTTGTCTTTTTTTTCTTTGCAGCTGTTTTGTCTACTTACAATGCACAAACAACAGAACTCAAGCAATTATTTCAAAAATGATTAGTTATGTGATTTTTAAGGAAAAAATCGGGTCGTAGAATTCAAGCCAAGGTCTCTTATGCCACTATATTAACGTTTAATAAATGTTAATATTAATCGACGATGGTAGTAGACAGTTGATCTGATTGTGTTGCAAATCTGAATGACCAACGACGTCCAAGGTTTAATTTTATGTAGAGTCGTATGGTTTTTTTTTTTTTTTTAGAAAACAAATTTAATTTCAAGAACATCAGCCCGTGTCTAGATTTTATTTTACTTCAATGCTAAGACCCATTTTTTACACGTGCATATATCTTAATTGAGAGATTTAATTTTTTTACGCATATTTACATTTTATATTCAAATGAAATAATACGCATCGGCGTTACAGTTATACGAGTACAGGACAAAAAATAATTATCAGACACTATTATAAACGATAATAACGCTAATTTGTTGATAAAATTATATAAAAACACAAAAAAATTTTAACCATTTCTAAAATAATAATAATAATTATAATGTTATAAAAGACAATAGCGAATAATTGAACAAACAGTAACCATATTAAAATAACTATCCCATTTCTTGCAAAAAAATATAAATCATTTCATAATGTACTTAGTTAGTCTTTTACTATGTTTAGTTTTGCGACAATGAAATCTATATTAATATTTATATAAAAGAACACAAAATTTAAAACACAAAGCATAACTACAAGTTAAATATACTGTATTATGTATTTAAAAATATATAAACATATTTGTAAGATTAATTTTTTTGAAAATGATCAAATTTTCTTGTTTTATGGATATCTATGATCATGTGCAGTTAGAGTTAATAATATTTCAAAATAATTGTGTGATTTTATAAAAACTATTAAGTTACAATCTTCCACGGTTTAGATTAAAATTTCCTTTACTCTTATTTCTATAATTGAAAATAATTACATTATTGTTATGACTGTTAAAGCACTTACAACTATACTTGACAATGATCAAAGTTAAGTAATAACTTTTTTACAAGGTTTCTAATTTTATTAGGAAATTGAGCAACAGTATTAATAAGATTAAATAAGATGCCGACTATTTTCAAAAAAAAAAAAAAAAAAATNAAAAAAAAAAAAAAAAAAACCATAAACTTATGTATTATAAAACGCTTGGAATAAGTACTCTAATACGTAGAATATTGGAAGGTGTGCGCGTCATTGATCATCATTGAACCTTGACAATATTGAGTTTTTATCAAGGCTCCATAATTCCTCTTTTGGAAAAAGGACCCTATCTCGTGAAATTTACTCTTTATTATACCTCATTCATTCAATTAATTTTCATAAAATTCCATCGGCTCCAATATATTTTTGTAACTCAATACTGCCAAAACATATTGTTCCAGACGCCCATTTCCTGTCCTCCACGTTGCAGTCATAAACACGATCAATATTTCGCCATTTAAACCGAGTCAGTTGAAACATACAGAGACAACTAAATACCATTAATATGTTCTTCTAATATGCATGATACATGTATAATAAAAACAATATTCATTCGAAATGACTTAAAGAACCAATGTCATTATAATACTACGGTTCGATTAAAATATATATATATATTTATACGATCTACACGCATACAAATCACGTGTTTGTGTGTTTAAATTCAATTGATCGTATTATGAGCAGCGATATGCAAATGTAAAATTTACAATCTCGTTGTTTACAATTTTTTATAAGCACTGGTTATTGGCAATGTCTAACGCAAATGTTAAGCAAAAAACTATCAGTAGTATCAAAAATAAATTTGATTCCATATAACCAAGATTGAACACATTTCTCGAATAATCTAATGTATTCATCATTATTTTCTAACTTTCAAAAAGTTTTTTGACCGATTAACTTATTGATCTTTGACGTTTGTTGCCAATCTCCAAGTCATAAATCTAAATTAATCAACAAACGTTAGAAATTTCGATAGAAATTATACAGATAGGTCGGTGCATTCTTTTCTATGACATGTTGTTGAGGTACATAATGAGTAATGCATGATAACGTTGTTCATTTTTTTTATTTTATCTATGCATACGTTTATTACGTTGTTTTTAATCAACAATATAATTCCTAGTTAGCGTCATCGCATTATCATGACTAAATTGCTAAAATTAATCATTACCTTGATTTTTTTCATAAATAAGTTTTGCTTGTATTCATTTGTAAATCAATTAAGTTATCCTGCGCCTAGAGTTGTGATGCAACACATTTAAAATTAATGTTTGAGCAGTATCGTTCAAACATGTTTTATCGACTTAAGTTTCATTATTAGTTGGCAACTCAGCATTTATTGACTTAAATTAAGATTCATACGCAAAATATTAGAATCTCAGCGTGGTAATAGTACAATCGAGTTTTGTCAAGATTTTTTACTGATGGGGAGTTTTAGATTTAGCTGAATTAAATTAATTGATTACCAAACGTCTTGTATTATGTTATAGTTATCATCTTGAGATAACCAACATCCGTATCTAATGATGCGGGTGTTATCTTCGAACATATAACTAGATAAACAATGGCGTATCTTGAAATATCATTGGTATACATGGTGAGAATGAATTTTTAGTCCTTAAAAATAACACACGTTCGTTGTCGTCGCCATATCGGACGCATACGGTGTGTCAGTTGGTGAATCATGAAAAACGAGATCTTATGACGAGTACGAAAAAAGATCCAGCTGTGTTAGTTGAAACATTTTTACCGATAATCTGGTCCACAAGAAACGACTTTGTACCCAACTGGTTGTGTTTGACGATGTCCATACATAAACTCTCTTACACAAAATATTAGATAGGGTAGTTGGTACGGGGGCTGTGATGGTGTTATTCAAATTTACTTTGTATGACGATGGTATATCTGCTGCTGCTGCAGCAGCAACAGTAGCATGCCTGCTCGTCACTGTGCACATGATAGCATTTGCCAGGGGGTTGTCGACCTCCGATACCTACGCACGCACACTCACCCCTCTTTAGAGTTCTATTGCTCACGACACGAAGCCTTCGTGCCTTATCGCTAGGGACCATTGCTACCGCCACAAAAGCCAGCACCCTCCACCAAAAACGGTCATAGTTTTAAAACTCGAACTGCTATTCATTCTGCTTTGGGTTTTTAACTTGGTAAACTTTACCAAGTACCCAAAATATAACTATCATATCGTAACTTCGAAATCGAACTTCTTTTAAAATAATGTGAATTAATTGTACGATATTTGTTTAGAATTCATAAGAATTTTCTCATAGTAAAACTTTCCAAAATATTATAAATATTATATAAATAAATATTATAAAATAAAATATTTTTAAGCCGACAACGGTAATTCAACCAATTTATATCCCTGTTATTGTATCAACGGAATTCCTTTTGGTATACGCTGTTTTGTAACTATCTAATTCTTACTCATTCGTCTAAAAAAAAAGCGCTAACAAAACATGAAACTCGGTTGTGTTTATTAAAGCTTTATTGATTGTGTACTATCGCAGATGGCGATGACTCACTTTCGAGAAATTAATTGATTAATACTTTAATGTATATCAAAAACATATTTCTATTCGATTTGATAAAATGTTTAAGTTGAACAAGCGGATTCAACCTGGTGAACGGTGACTGACTAGTATGGTTTTTATAAGACTTGGTTGGTAGGTAGTAGGTATACTGACGTTCTTAACAATTCGGGGTACGCGTTGTACCTGGTACCTACAACACTAGAGACCCCAATGAAATCCAACGAATTAAACCGGTTTAAATTTTTTTTTCCATCCGCGTGGTTTTCGTCGAACGGCTTAGAGTAGTAACAAAAGGTATGGAGTACATAAAATATACGTTTCCCCATATCAACACCTGAAACGCCCAGCGTTAGAGGAAGCTTATTGTGAACTTAATTTTTGAATAAAGGAAATTAGACTAGTGAACAATTATAATGATTTGGGGTTTGCGACCTCCCGATGTTTTTGCCTGCTATTTCACTTAGTGTCGTCCCATTTGAACTATATTATAATGCCAGTTTTTACTTATCCTTATTATTTTTTTGTTTCAGGTAAATATAACATAATATATGCGTAGCTGCAGTCTAATAAAATGATTTAGTGAGTAATTCAATATATTATTTTTCATACTATTTATGCACCTAAATATATCAATAAAATAAATTAGATTTATCTTTTTATGTTGCTTATCGATTGTTGTATACGTTTTCTAACAACAATGCAATAAAAACATTTGTATTAAATTGCTATTGGAAATCTATTGAATCGTCAAAACTTCTTTTTACCATTTATTAACTTTATTTAATAGTTTTTCATTTCTGCACCGTAACTTTACAATAAGGTATATTTTTTTCATCTAGTTGTGATTATACCTGCGAACGAAAACCTGATTGTACCCAATTTTTCAAAATGTTGAGCTATGAAAATTCTCATTATTCAAATCGAGTTTAAACACATAATATTAGTTTCAAGTTTTTGTCTTGCTTTTTTTTTCGCCACCTTCAAATATCTGACATCTGTTTTTTTCGTGATAACGATGGGGGTCTGCTGTGTGTACTAAGAGTAGGTACGATCTGTGGTGCAGTTTTAGATCGGTCGTCCAACAGAAATGTGGCAACATCGCGCACAGGATCGACAGTCATGCGTTGCCTTGGCGGTCGGAATATTGATCCCGTCGGCCCCCGGCGCACGTTATTCACTACGTTGCAACGCCTCACGACAAAGAATCCGTCTTCAAATAAAAAATATATAATGTAAACCCCGACAGCCACCATTAAAACTGTCGTCGTTCGGGGGTGACTTCATTTAAAGGAACCCTTCAGTCGGTTCTCCATTTGCACCCCTACACTTGTTGTTAAAACTTTTAGGTGCCATCAGAGTCGATTTGGATAGAATAAATTTAAAGCGTTAAAGTTATTTGCCCTAAAAAAACGTTTCGTTTGCAGTGCAAATCTAGGTCCACTTTATTGTGATTCGTAAAAACAGGTGTATGTCAAATTTTATTTTCACATATGAAAGCAAAATTTGAACTATACATGTATAGTTCATAAAATTCGTGAGAATTTCCTACAAGTAGAAACTACAAAATACTCTGTTTTGTTTCTTGATTTCTTTGTTAAAATTAAGACTTGATAATGACTGATATAGTTCATAATATTTTGTTTATGTTCAGAACACATCTGCTCAAGTGATTCATATAATCAATTTAGCACTTAATGTGATACAGTCAAAGTTTTCGATACAAATACATTTTTTTATATTTTATTTTATTTTTCAATTAAGCTATACTATCGATGTCATACCCAACCAAACAACTTTTTTAGTTTTATCAATTTTTTTTTTTTAATGTTTTTCTATATGTGTTTTATTCTAACATTAATCTTTACAATTACTGATAATTATTTGAGGTCATTCCTATTACCTTATATAACAATCTTAATTAAGTATAAATTGTACTACTTGTGAACTCCTCTTCCATTTTAAATTATATTTTCACTTGTGTCAAATGTTTTGCTAATAGAATTCCCTAATATGGTATTGTACGAAAGCGATTATGCCTCAACACAGTAGATTATATTAAATGCAATCTACTGCGTTAAGGAAAAAAAATATTTTGTTATAATAATAATCTAGTAAATTGAATCATAAAATTTTTATTTTCTTTAATATCTATAATTTATAATATGAAAATTTCATAATGATACCGTAAACAAGATATTATGACAAAAAGAAATATCTATCTAATTAATGACGAAAAGAATAACGTTTAAAACTAGATTGTTTATTATGATAAAAATTGCTCATAAATTAAATTACGTCCCCTCGGTGGAATTTAAGAAAGAATTTTTACTTGATTTTAACTAAACTTAGTAAAATATTAATGATTGGATATTTCTTGTTTAAACATTTATTTGGATGTCATTCTTCATGAGTACATCAATTTCATTAACGAAATGTGAGTATATTAACGGCGAGCAATATAATATTTTTGTCAATTGTTTGTTTCTTTGCACGCGTGACTTTCAAAGTGATATTACGAGAGGTCGACAACACTACTTGTTTTTCAAAACCTACTAAACCTGCGTTGGTTTATTTCTTGGACACAAACCAAACTCTTCTTAGGCCGATCTTTAGCCGTCACAATCGCTGTTGGTGGCGATGACCAAACTGCTGCTGCTGAACTTCGAGTCATTTCCGTTTTTGGCATCTGTTTTATTTTATTATCGTGTACTCTAACGCTTGTTGGAATCAAGTAAACTTGGGAGAGAAAACTGAAAGAATAGTTTTTTTGGGGGGAAACAAGTGCCAGTTGGCGACGTTCTTCTTGAGAAACAGACTTGCACGCAAAACGGTCATTGAAGGTTAAATCGTTATCTTTTGACGAAGTCGCAATGGTTTTGATCTTTTTAATAATTAAACATTCGTAAACGACATAATAATTTTTTTGGAATGTAATTTTTGCTTAGACCAACGAATGAAACCTTTTTTTTTTATCGTAGAATGCTTATCAAACATACAAAAATAATTTTAAAAACTATAATGAAGTAAAAAAAAACTACAAAGAACATACCTACCCTATCTTTACATTTTTTAAAATTAAGGTCCTGCCGGAGAGTCCCATAGGGACACGTTAGGTACGTGAACGAAATGTTTATACAACGGAAAAATGGTGTTTTATAATACTTGATAGTATTGTGTTGTACGTGGGACGTATAAATAGTTTATTAATGGAGTGTGTCGCTGGACAGGAATGAAAGGTCGTGAAAGTGACACTTAGGTGAGCGGAAAAGAAACAGACCCGTCGCTGTAATAAGCCAAGTATAATATTTGTGTGTACCTATTGCCTAATAATATATTCGTTAAGCATAGACAGCAGTGAATGCGGCGGCGTACGAGGGAGGAAGGCAAGACAATTGACATTTTGATTATTTTCTCGTTGACGGCGTCATGTCTGAGTAACATACATTTTTATGAGATTTACCTAATAAATTCACGATAGAGGTCAAACGAATGTAATAATATTATAAGAAAATAATTCACGAGCGCGTTTCATAGATCCTTATCGGTGCATGTTTTGAATAGAACTTATAAAAAATAAATTTAAAGAAAATTATATTGTTCTATTACAATATCTTGGTTGCGCGTTGTTGTTTTCTACAACAGGTGTGATACCGTTTATGTCCAAGTGCTCCAAGCTATTGTTTTAAAATATTTATACCGAGAGATTGGCGATTAGCGAACAGTATCTGATCAAATTGTGAGTGCCTGAGAATTATTCATTTGTTTCCGGAACTCTAAGGATCGATTAGCTAATCTACATTCAACTAAAACCAACAATTCAACATTCAATTTTACACTCGACTAAAAAAAATTATTCAATTTTAATGTTATCGACAAACTTTTATATTATACACGTACATTCCGCTGAATTCACATGATTTTCAACTTGCAAGCTTTTAAACAAACAATGAGTAGATATAACAGATTGTGTTCACACTACAATTCTGTTATGTGCATGCCTATTGTTAATTGTTTCTTTATTCTTTGAAACATTGAACAATATTATGTAAAATACGAATATGTGAACCGCAAGATGTTTTTTTTTCTTTTGTGTGTGTTACTCAAGACCTCTAGTTCGTCTCGTGAACTAAAAAACTTTGAGTGTTACATCTAACAATACTTATTTATATTTCATTTTTTTTCTCTATAATTTTACTTACTTTTTTTTTTTTTTTTTT